AGGCTGAAAGCCTGAGGTTATCAGAAAGTTCCCCCTTCTTGTGACTTTCTGTGATTGCCTGACTGCTGAGCTAGGGACATTCCTGGCAGACATGAGGGCCTCAGCTGACACCCAGGATGTGGGTGAGGGGGCTGAGGCTAGAACAGGAGGAGAAGGAAGAAAGGAGAGAAAAACAGGTTCAGAAACATCTAGGGCCTGCGAGTTATACTCAGAACCACAGCCAGCCCAGGGGAGGACCCTCAGCCATTATATAGAATAGGGGCTGGCCAACAGCTTCCATCCCTTGGGTTTATTTTAGAGAAGGGTTGTGTTGAGAAGGATTCTGAGGCTGTTTGCTTGGCGATGCCTGTGCTGAGTGGAGGGAGGGATGAGGTGAGATAAGCCAACCATTTGCCGACCTTGTCTAAGCCGCTTGTGTTTTACTAACACTATTATCATCATGTCCACTTTACAAGTGAGGAAACCAGGGCCCAGAGAGGAAAAATGACCTGTCCAAGGGGCCAGGCCTCTGAGGTTCTGCATCAGCCATAGCACCCAGCCTCCAGCTCCCAGCTGGCTCTCAGTTACCCATGTAGGGAGAGGCAGGCCCTCGCCCATCGGGTCTCTCTCTAGAGCCCAGGCTGCTGGTGCCACCTGACCCCCAGCCCCAGCAGCCTGCAAGGCGTCCTGGCTCTCTCATTCATTCGCATATCCCTAGCAGACCCAGCACAAACCCTGGCACATCAGAGCAGGGTGGCCTTGGACACTGGCAAGCCCAGCCTCCTCTCCACAGAGATGGGGAGCACAGAGAGGCTGCCCTGCGAGGGCCATACTGGGAGGAGGCATGTGGCTCGGAATGGCCTCTTTTAGCTGTGTGACTCTGGACTGCTTTATTGACCTCTCTGGGCATCACCTCACAGGATTGTTGAGAGGATCAGGGTGATGACAGTGTGAAGGGGACCAGGACTCAGTGTTCAGAATCCCTCCTGGTTGTGTGTGGGGGGGGTGGGGACGGGACAGCCACTCACCTGCTGGGTGACTTCAGGCAAGAGATGTCTTCTTTGGGTCTCCCCATCCCCTTGGGCAGAGTGAGGAGGTGGGGCCTTTTCTGTGCAGCCCGGCCATCAGGGAGATGCTGGGTGGAAGCGAAGTCCCAGATTGCTGCAGGCCCGACCTGTCCTGGGCAGACTCAGCCTCGCCCCTGCTCACCGCTCTCTCCCCGTGGCTCCACCAACTCTGAGAGCCGGTCTTGTTCATATAGATGAGAAGCGGAGCAGCTTGCTCAAGGTCACGCGGCCTGGAGAGAGAGGGCACTCAAACCCAGGCTGGACTTTAATCCAGTGCTCCTTTCCTTGTTTCCCGTGCCCGGCCTGGGGCCCAGCTCCTTCCCCTCCTCCTGGCATCTGGCTACCAGCCCTGCCATGCAGAAGCCAGGAGGCAGACGAAAAGGAGGAAGAATTGGAGACAGAGCCAGAAGGTTTTTCTCTCGATGATACTCAGCTGGGCTTGGGCTTGTCACTTGGTTCAGACCCTGACAAGCTAGGTGAAGGGCAGTGTCGGAGACTGCACCCGCCCACACCTCACCCGCGCCCGCTCCCTGCCAGGCCCAGGCTGGCGACATCAGCACCCAGAGTTGCTCCGGCCTGGCTCCTGCCTGCGGAGCTGCCTGTCTGGTGCCAGACAAGGAAACAGACCATTATAACGCGGCCGAGAAGGGCTGGGGAGGCAGTGCCTAGCGAGGCCTGGGTCAGGGAGGGCTTCCTGGAGGAGGAGATGCCTAACCCAGAGCAGAAAGATGAGTAGGAGTCTGCCAGATAAAGTGAGAGGAGTGCCGCAGGGCGTGGGGCGGTCCAGAGGCAAGAGAGCGTGGGGTGGGAGGAAGTAAAAGAAACTCCCCGTGGCTGGAAACAGAGGTGGGCAGTGTGGGAAGTAAGCCTGGAGCCACGAGGGAGGGCCTGGCCCCTGGCCCAGGGTAGGAGGGAGCCGGGGAAGGTCTGCGTGGTGACCACGCGGTCACGTTCACATGGGGGAAGGTGTCTGGGTGCTGTGCGGAGGATGGGCGGACATGGAGGACCTCCCTAGCACTGTGTGGGGGGAAGGTGGCCATTTCAGAGGCCTGGATTGAAGGGTAGGATTGAGGGGGGTATGAGGGTCTCCAGGTGGTGTCTATGACAGCTTAGGGTCCTGACATGGGACTTTCTGGGCCTCAGTTTCCCCCAGCTACACCACAAGAAGCCTGGGTGGCTCCGAAGATGTCCTTGCCCAAGGGCCCGGGTGGCGGTGTCAGGGGATCTCTTGAAGAGCCAACTTCCCTTTCCTTCCCACTCCTTGCTTCCCTCTGGGGTGGCAGAATCCCTGGCTGTGTGGGCCGGGAGGAGCTAGGGGATTTCTAAGCAGCCCTGGACTGTCCCCACCTCGGCCTGAGTCACACTGAAAATTCAGCGGCCGTTACTTGAGCGTCTCCTCTGTGCCAGGCACTGGCTAAGCACGGGGGCCACCGCAGTGGACCAGGCAGGGCTCTGCGGCCTGCGCTGGCACTCTGGGGGGAGACAGACACTGAGCACGTAGGTAAATACACGTGGGTAATGATGGTCCCACAGAGCGAGACGTGCTGTGGAGAAACATGGGGGAGGGAAGGGGGACAGGGAGTGTGTGCGTGGTGCGCGCGTCCGGGGCTGGGATTCCAAATTGAGTGAGAACCTGGGATTTGAAGAGCGACCCGCAGGAAGTGAGGAAGCAAACTGGCTGTTCAGGAGAGGATGCCCACAGGCGTGCCCAGCGCAGGCCCTGGCCAGTGTGTCGCAGACTTAAGGACGCAAGTGCAGAGTGAGGCGGGAGCTCAAGTCCAGGGGCATTTGCTGAGGACACATCACGTAGGACCTTGGGAGGGTCCTGAGAGAGGACCCAGGGGAAACTGAGGCACAGAGAGGTTCACTGGTGTGCCCGAACCCCACAGCTAGTAAGTGGGACCTCTGAAAGGCCCCGGTGTGTCTCATGCCAAAGCCCGCGCACTCTCCATTTCTCCCGTGTCTAAGGGACAGCTGGGCCTGCCAGGATGGGTCAAGGCCGGCCCCACAGACAGCTCGGGAGCCAAGGTCTGGGCCTGTGTTTCACCCCCTGTTCACCGTCCAGCTGGGTGTGCGAGTGGGAACTGACAGGTGCTGCGTCTCAGGTCACCTCCTGCCCTGCTCCTGCGCTCCTCACCTCCGTCGCACTCCCACGGGACTGCCAGAGGGGGACGGCAGCTAAGAATGAACGGGGAGCGGGGCAGGGCGGCTGGGGGAGAGGACTGCTGCTTCACGGGGACTTTGGGAGCAGGCCCTTTCCCAGACCAGAGCAGTGACCACTGGCCCAGCCAGTGTGGAATGTCACTGACTAGTGCACACGTGTTCTGTTCACTTTTCTTTTTTCTTATCCTCACCCGAGGACATTTTTCAATATTTTGTTCAGATAGAGAGGGAGGAGAGAGAGAGAGAGAGAAACATCGATGTGAAAGGGACACACTGAGTGGCTGCCACCCGCACGACCCAACCAGGGCCAGGGACAAACTCAACCGAGGTACATGCCCTTAGCGGGAACCGAACCCGGGTCTCTCTGGACCGCAGGCCGATGCTCTAACCGCTGAGTCAAACAGGCCAGGGCCCTGTTCACTTTTCTGTAAGTAGTATGTACTTTAATGAAAAAATTTTAAATTTTTTTTTTAATGTTTTGTTTGTTGTTAATTTTTTTCTTTATTGATTTTAGAGAGAAAGGAAGGGAGAGGGAGAGAGAGATAGAAACATCGGTGAGAGAAAATTGATTGGCCGCCTCCTGCATGCTCCCCACTGGGGATTGGGCCCACAACCTGGGCATGTGCCCTGACTGGGAATCGAACCAGTGACCTCTTGGTGCACGGTCGACGTTCAAACACTGAGCCACACTGGCTGGACGATAAAAAGATTAAAACAATAAATAAAACAAAATACACATGTCTGGGCCCCATGTGGAAGTATGGCTGGGGACGAGGGGTCCATTCATTTGGTGCATACTTACTGAGAACATACTATATGCCAGGCACCGATTTGGGCATATTAATGCAGTGGTAGGATAGGCAAGGCCTTGACCCTTGTAAACTTACATTTTGGTGGAGGAGCGGTGGGAGGGAGAGAGACAGACCATAAACAAGTCATCAAACATAAAATAATGGCATAAGAGGTGACTTATGAGAGTTAGTAAGTGGGTTATATGATATGGCACATGGGGTGTTTTAGCCAGATAGATCTCTCTGAAGAGGTAGCACTGAGCGAAGACATAAATGATGAAGAGATGCTATGGGGAAATAAAAGGGAAGAGAGTGGCAAGTGCAAAGGCCCTGTGGTTGAAATGAGCCATTCAAGGAGGCTGCTGTGGCTGGACCGGTGTGGGATGGAGGAAAGTGGTATGAGATGAGTTCCAAGACAACAGAGGCCTTGAATGCCAAAGTAGTGAGTTAGGATTTTAAATGGGGGGAAAAGTGCCCTGGCTGGTGTGGCTCAGTTGGTTGAGCATCATCCCATGCACCAAAGGCTTGCTGGTTCAATTCCCAGTCAGGGCACATATCCAGGTTGCAGGCTCAATGCCCAGTCAGGAGTGTGCTAGAGGCAGCCAATTGATGTTTCTCTTTCTCTCCCTCTCCCTTCCTCTCTCTCAAAAAATGAACAGAAAATAGCCCTGGTTGGTTCTGCTCAGTGGTTAGAGCGTCTGCCAGTGGACCAAAGAGTCGTGGGATAGGTTCCCAGTCAAGGGCACGTACCTCGGTTGTAGTTCTTCCCCGCCCTGGTCAGGGCTGTATGGGAGGCAGCCACTCGATGTGTCTCTCTCACATTGATGTCTCTCTCTCCCTCTCTCTCCCTCCCCTTCCTCCCTCCCACTCTATCTGAAGATAAATGGAAAGATATCCTCAGGTGAGGATTAAAAAAATAAAATAAAACATAAATATGAATAAACAAATACATAGATATATATATATTTTTTAAGTGACCTTGGCCTCCTCTCTCCCCTAGGTCTCAGCCCAGAGGGTACCTTCTGCAGACATGTCCGTGGATCCCTTATCCAGCAAAGCCCTGAAGGTGAGGAGGCAGCCCCTGGAGGCCCCAGTCGTCCCCTTCCCTCCCGCCCAGGCTGAGCTCCCATCCCAACTGCCCCTGCGGGACCTGGAACCCCCAGAGCAGCCCGGCAGGCCTCAGGCTCTCATGAGGCCACCGCTGGAGACCAGGAGGCCTGGGCTCTGGTCGCAGGCCGTGTCCCCTTGGTCAAGTCACTCCCTTTCTGGACCTGCTTCCCCATCAGGACAATGCCCACTTTCCTCGGTTTCTTTGGCTGAGTCCGGGCCTGGTTGCCGGGTTCGAATTCCAGCTGCGCTCTGGGGTGGCTCCTTGCGTGTTTAGATCCTGGTTTGGCAGGGTTTCCCCTCAGGGATTCCTGCCCCGTTTGGGGGTCTCGGAACAGGTCCAGCCGCCCCCTCAGTGCCTATGGCAGTGGAAGGGGAGCCATCCCCAGCACGTGGTGCGTGTCAGGCCCAGGGCTCAGGGCTCACTGCCAGGGCGCGACCCCGGGCCTCAGTTCCCCACCTGCTCGCCCTGCAGATCAAGCGCGAGCTGAGCGAGAACACGCCACACCTGTCGGACGAGGCCCTGATGGGGCTGTCGGTGCGCGAGCTGAACCGGCACCTGCGGGGGCTCTCCGCCGAGGAGGTGACGCGGCTCAAGCAGCGGCGCCGCACGCTCAAGAACCGCGGCTACGCGGCCAGCTGCCGCGTGAAGCGCGTGTGCCAGAAGGAGGAGCTGCAGAAGCAGAAGTCGGAGCTGGAGCGCGAGGTGGACAAGCTGGCGCGCGAGAACGCCGCCATGCGCCTGGAGCTCGACGCGCTGCGTGGCAAGTGCGAGGCGCTGCAGGGCTTCGCGCGCTCCGTCGCCGCCTCCCGCGGGCCCTCCGCGCTCGTGGCTCCCGCCAGCGTCATCACCATCGTCAAGTCGGCTCCGAGCCCCGGCCCGGGCCCTGCCCCTGGCCCTGCGCCGGCCGCCTGCTCCTAGTGCCCTCTGCGCCTGACCACGCCCTGTTCCCCAAACCACTCCCCTGACCCCTGACCCCAGCTCCCGTCCCGAAGTGCCTAGACGCAACCTCTGTCCCCAGGTGCCATTTCTCTGCAGCCACCAGCCCCTGTGGTTATCACAGGTTCTCTCCCCGGAGCCTGTCTTCCTTGTGCGGTCCCTGAAACTGGGACCTAATATCCCTGGGAAGGGGCAACTTTGGTGAGATAGGAGGTAGAGTGGGGCTGGGGTCGAGGGTCTCCCTTGGCTGAAAGCTCAGCCTTAGATTGGGAGGATGGAATACGGAGCGGATTCGATTAGAGGCATGGAGAAGAGGGCCACCCCTCATTTTGTAAACTGCTCAAATTGTGCCAATGGCCCCTCCCCATCCGCATGGGATTCAGCACTAGGTTTGGCCTGTATGTCTTGTGGGTCTGCCCACCGGGAAGCTGATGCTCCCACCTCTGCCGTGGGCCTGGGGAAATCACCCAGTGAAGCCCAGTTAGCAGGTGGGGAAAGAGGCCTCCAGTGGGTGGGCCACATATGCTCAGTGGCTGGGCTGGAACTTAAGCCCAGTCCTCCCACTGCTGTCCTGAGATCCCAGCCATGGTTGTGGAGGACAGTGAACAGGGTCTGGAAACAGGTGGAAGGGCTGCGGTGGCCTGGGACCCGGCTCTCTGTGAGCCAAGGTAAGAGAAGTAAAAGGAAAGAGAAGGTGATGCCGATGGAAGAGAGGGAAGGAGTTGGCAAGGGGACTGAGGAGGCATCCACTGGCAGACGAGATGGCAGATCCTGCAGTCTTGCAGCCTGGGGTGAGAATCCTTAGAAGGGTAGGATCCCACCTCTTGCCCTGCGACTGTCCACCTGGGGTGGAGGCTGGCCGCTGCCATTGATTGTTCTGGGAAGCCCAGCCGCACCCTCCCCACACACTGTATACAGCTGCCTCCCCGCTGTTTATTTATTGCACGAATCTAAGTTATTCTCTCCAGCCAGAGCCCTTGCGCCCACTCCCTGGGAAAAGTGGCCCTGAGCTGGACTTTATATTTTATATCTGCAAATAAATCACATTTTATCTTATATTTAGGGAAAGCCAGATGGCAACAACCAAAAAATGTTTAAAAAAAAAAAAATTGCCAGGTTCCCAGAATTTATTTATTTTCTGACTTACAGTAAGCGAGTTATCCGCCTTCTGTATTTTGTAGACTTTCTGAATAAAGTCAAGTTCTCTTTTTCCACAGTGAGGAGGTGTATGTCCTGAGCGATGGTGTTCTGAATCAGGGGCCTGTGATGGGAGTTCTGCTTTTCCACCCAGGCAGGGTGGGAGGGTTAACCCCAATTTGCAAATAAAAACTAAGTACCATCACTGGCTCCTGCCTGGGCTGGGGGTGGGCTGCAGGTGGAATCCGGGTGGGTGGTGCCAAAACGTGTCCTTTCACCTGGGGGCCTGAGCCAAGGACCCTCCTTGGAGAAGGCAAAGCGGGGAGCATGATGAAGTGTAGGGTTAAATTTCCTGGGCATCCCTTCAGCAAAAAAAGTCCCACTCAGAGAGGAAAATTCCCAGATTGAAGAGTAATTTTTCCAGCACTTTCATATCGAGGTCTGACTTTCGACAGCCAAGTAGAAAATACTTTCCTCATGTTTCAGAAGGCACGGAGGCAGGGAGAGAAGTGGCCTCCTCGGTCCCGGCCTGCGGGCCTAGACTGCAACCAGGTCTCATCCAGATGGACCGAGTACACTGTGAGGGCCAGGGAAATCAGGGTTTGAATCCAGATGTGGGTTGTTCCAGCTGTGTGACCTTTGATGACGTATTTAGGTCCTCATAGCCTCAGTTTACCCATCTGCACCAGGAAGGTACTCTGAGGGCATAGGTGACAAGCACTGGGACGGGAGGGGCTGCAGGCTTGAGCAGAGTAAATGTTTACAGGAGGGCGCACCACTGCAGTGAGCACTTGCTAGTGGCTGGTTATGGGTATGAAGATGGTGCAGGATATGAAAGTTGGGGAAAGGCCAAACCATATGGTGGGAACTGAACCCAGGTCTCTCTGGTCCACGGGCCGACACTCTAACCACTGAGCCAAACCGGCCAGGGCAAGGCCAAACCATATGGGTTGGCATGATCCACAGGCCTCCCCGCACCCTCAGGTTGAGGCCCAAGAGCCTCACCAATCCTGAGCTGCTGAGCTCAGGCCTGCGGAAAAGGCAGCCGGAAGCTGCAGGAGGGCCGAGCTGAGGCTGGGAATTTCCCCGCCCCCGCTGCATTCCTGAGTGCCCAAGTCAGCGCAGCCAGGCCCCCTCGGCCAGGCCCTGTGAAGGCATGCAGAGGTGGAGGAAGGAAGGTGCCCTGCGCGGCCAGACACCTGGCCTGGTGAGCAGGGGCAGTGCCCACTGCCCAGCAGGCCCTGTTCTAGGCCTTGCCCCTAGGGGATGCACCTGGGGTCCACAGTGCAGGGCGGGCTTAGGGCGGCAGGGAGACAGTTTGGAAATAGTGAGGACACTGGGAAATCTCCAACCCCAAAAGACACCTGCAGGAGGGGTACTATCAATGGGCAGGGAGGGTGGGCCCTCTGTGACCAAGGCTTCCAGCATGTCCTGCTAGCCAGGGGAGAGGAAGGCACTGTCCAGTGGGGCCCCGGACCCCGATTTTAGTCTCTGACAATGTGAATTCCCCCCATCACCTATGAGTTACACACAGGAAGGACAAGGATTTCCTGACACCCCTGCCCACAACCACGAAAGCCACCCCCAACACACCCACGGGAGTGGGAAGAGGAAGGAAAAAACCTCACCCATAGGCAGAGATTTCAATACAATCTATATTATCTCATATATATATTTCTTTCTCACTTTATTTGCTCACTTCTGTCACGCATTTAAAATGTCACAGAGACCAAAATAGAGCGACTTTCTGGTGGAACTCATGGCAGTCATTCACAAAATACAAAACTAGGGGACTCTGTCTTCTCATACATCATACAGTTAATTTTTCAAGTATTTTTTATGTACAAAGAACTACTCTATTGGGAAAAAAAAGACAAGGTAGGTTACAAATCCTAGGAAGTAGGGGTGACATGGGCAGGCACGCGTTCCCAGCCCCCATCTCCCCAGGGGCCGCTGGTTCCCTGCCACTGAGCTGCGGGCAAGTGCCAGGGTCTGCAGAGAGTGGGGGCAGGGAGTCAGCCACACACTTTGGCCTGGAAGGAGAATCAGAGAAACAGATTTGTGAAGGGAAATGGTGGGAGTGGGGACAGAGGTTGTTCTAGGACAGCCTGCACCAACCTGCTGCCTTCCCAGGCAGCTTGGTACTAACTGGCCAAGCCCACCAGACAGGAGCCCGGAAGTTGGCCTCCAGTACCCCACAAGCAGGCCTGTCTCCCCCAGGGACTGGCTTGGTCACAAGAGCCAAGTGCCCGGAAAGTTTCCTGGGATGGAACCCCACCTGACCCTCGACCCTCGGCACAGTTCATTCCAGGAGCGGCCAGGAGATTTACAGTGAAGTCCTGAAGCCACAGGGCCCTGCTCCCTCACCGTCCCCCTCCCCAGGCTGTTGCAGCCCAAACCCAGGTGCTATCTGGGGATGGACACTCGGCCTGTACAAACAAGCAGTGTCCATCGAGAGCCTCTTCCTAAGACAGTGGCCAATGTGCGCCCAGCCTGCATGGCGGCTCTGGCCCTGGGAGGCTCCAGGTATATGGGTGGGGAGGTGGGCAGGGGTAGGGACTGGTAGTCCTGGCCACCCCTGAGGCCTGTCCAAGGGTGCTTGGCCCAGCACTGCAGGACCCTCCGAGTGCCAGTAGTGTAACGGGAAGCCCCCAGGGGTGTCTGGGATAGACTGAGGGCCTAGGGAGGGGGAGCTTTCATATGTGACTAAGGCACAGAAGAGACGAGCTGGGGGGCCGGATGAGGCAGGACACCAGGCCCTGTGTGGGTTGGGGCCAGGGCCTCGGCTGCGTGCCCCAGCCCTTCGTCCTCCCTCCCACAGAACTGCGTCCTTTGGAAGCTGGTCTGAAACGTGGAGACTCAGACTCTTTCCCTGAAATGGGGGGGAGAAGCCCCAGGAGAGACCAGGACACAGCACAGGTCCTGAGTGCTGTCTGGGAAGGAAGGTGGGAGCCCAGACCCTGGGAGCAGCTGGGCAGTAAGGGCTCCGCCGCAGGTGCTCTCAAGACAGACGCCACGTGGGGGACAGCGCGGGCTGCTAGCGGTCCTCAGCAGGCCAGGAGGAAAGGGCATGAGACAGAGGTGCAGCCACGGAGAGGACACCCAGGGGCTCAGGGACCCCTGCTTGGAGAGGCCACACCAACAGAAGAGGGGCCAGAGGCACCTAGTGGATCCTAGTGGCTCTTCGTGTCTGGCTCTGGTCCTTGCAGCATGCCAGGCAGGCCCCGGTCAGGAGGGGGCTCAGAGAGCTCCCATGTCCCCCTCCCTCCTCCTGCCCAGACGAGGCTAATCCAGCATGGACAGGGGCACAGGGGAGGAAACAGGTAGGGAAGAGCTGTATTGCACACTGTGACCTGGGGACAGAGCTGAGAAGGCCGGCTGCTGGCCCACAACACAAGCATCTGGATCGGGGGCACGGCTGGTCCCAACAAGCGGCCACCGCAGGAATAGCGGCAGGGGCACAGGAGTTGCTCCCAGTGTCCTCTGCTCCGCGCCCGGGCAGTGCTGGCTTGGCCTGGTATAAATATTCCTGAAGGCTCCAAGGTGAGCCTGGGCTGTTCTCTCAGCAAACAGCGACTGACTGTTCCTCTGGAAGTGATATGTGAGTGTCTCTGGTCCAATAAATTAAAGGGCAATGCCAAAGCTGCCAGCCTGCTTCCTGGCCTGGACATGAGGCTGGAGGGGGCACACCCTGCCCTGGGCCAAGGGCCAATCCTTCCCAGCAGCAGTCGCACTTAGAACTCATCATCAGAGCTGAGCAGGAGAGTCTTCTCAGTGTCTCGGGCAGCACTGAGGCTGTGGGCCCCGCCGTGCCAGGTGGGCCCGGGCTCCAGGGTGGACTGCTGCGTGTACTGCTGGTAGGCAGGCGAGAAGTTGTGGATGGCATCCTGCACGATGTCGTGCGGGTTCATGGTCTCCTTGAGGCTGCTGGAGATGCTCTTCATGGGGGCGCAGCGGCCTACAGGGCAGGAGGCAGGAGGTGCAGGTGAGGGGCTGGCACAGCAGAAGGCAAGGTGGCTTGGCCCCCAAGGTTGTGCCATCAAAACCACCCCCCTTGGGACAGAGTACGGGGCTCTGGACACGAGAAGGCGCAGGCAGAGAAATGGCTCTTCTAGCTGGCGGAGCAGCGCGCACCCTGAAGGCGGGGCGGAGTCCGCAGGTGGACGAGGCCGGGGTGAACACTGGCACCGTGCAGGCAGCGAGCCCCGGCAGTGACTGAGGTGGGAGTGTTGGGGAAGGAGGCTCAGGAGCCAGGTGTGCCCAGGCTCCACGGGTGCAGCCCTGCTCTGTTCTTCTGAGGGAATGGACCAGGGCCCGCTCCGCCAGGACAGGTGCAGAGAGCTGGACCACAGTGAGGCAGACATCTTCACCGGCTCCCCCTCGGAAAGGGCGGGAGCCTGCCCTGAGGTGCTTATCTTCATCCCTCTCTGACGAATCCTCCCCACGGGCCCAGGCCACAGAACTGACAGGTAAGCGATGAACTCAACCTGCAGCCAGGTCTTCAGACTCAATCTCCCCTGCTCTTGCCTCCTTCGTGTCCTCTGCCACGGGACATACTGAATGCCCCTGGCTCCCACTAATGAGAGCTGTGCCCCAGAACCAAGCGGGCCTATTCCAGAACGACAGAACAGGACAGAAGCAGGCAAGCTCTACAGAGGGCGGCCCCTGGCGGCAGGTGCTCTGGGCACTGCCACCTGGGGTATTGTGGTGAAGGAGACAGGGACACAGAAGGAGCTGGGGAGAGAGACATGCTGGTGACAGTAACCAGGACTGACATGCAGGACAGACGTGCAAACCAAGAGCAGAACCTACCGTAAGGACCATATGTTGGCACTGCCCATGGCCAAACCCGGGGCAAAAGCAAGGCGGGCAGGGGAGGGGAAGAGAAGCAGGAGAAATAGAGAAGACAAAGACAGCTGAGTGAACACCACGTGCCCACCACCGAGGCCAGTGCACGCCACGCACCCTGCCACCCCCACCCCTCGGCTGCCCCCGCATCAGGCAGTCCCAGCTCCGAGCCTGGGCAGAATATCCACTTAGAGATGACTCCTCCTGTGGCATTCCCACACTCTTTTAGGGGGGACAAAGAGTAGACACCAGAATGGAGGTCCGGTTCAGGCTCCCCTAAGTCCGGACCCCCACTCCCCACTTCTCTTTAGCCTTGGCTAGAATGGCTGTTTGTGCCCGGTGCTCTACAAACCTCTCGCCACTGCACAGACAGGAAATCGAGAGGAGGGCGGGGGTTTCTTGTGCAGACACACGACAGAGCCGGCCCTGCACCCACCTGACTGGAGGGCGGCGGGGCTGGGCGCTGTGGTTAGCAGGTGAGTGACTGGCCAGGGCCAGCACTGAGGGGCAAGGGCAAGCAACAGCTTTCCTGGCTGGGGGCGGGGGAGGTCCACGCTACAGCTGCACTGCTTCGGTGGGTGTCTGGGGGCAGTGGGTGGGAAGACAGCCCAGCATCCGCTGAGAGCCTCTGTAGGGCCACCATGTGCAGAGCTGGTTCCTTAATCCATTTAAACCTTCCCAGGCTCTAGGCACAAAGGTGATTTCCCAAGGGCACAGGGTCTGTCAGGACCAGGTCCAAGGGACATTGCCCTCAATACTGGGAAGATGTTCGCTGGATCCTTCCTTCCAACGGAGGCCCTGGTGGGAAGCAGGTGGGACACCAGCCGGCAGCGATGAGCCGCGGCCAGCACAGGGCCTGGCACCGAGTAGGTGTGCGGTCACATACAGGAAAGTGCCGACAGCCCCAGCCAGCAAGGGTGCTGGGCAAACATGGTCGGGCGCACAAGAGTCAAGAGGCCAGGGGTACAGTTCAGTCCATGCTCCCAGAGCCGCACAGGCATTCTGAGGCCTCCTCCCAACCAGGGGAAGAACTTGGCAATAAGAGGATGGGGGTCGAGGAGCTGGCACAGGCAGGTCCTCTGTACTCCTCTCAGGACACGGCTGCCAGAGCCCGTGTGGGCACAGGTGTGGGGCTGGGGAAGCGGTTTCTCACCTCCGGGCCCTGGGAGGGGAGCTGGCAGCAGCAGAGCCCCAGCGCAGATGTGTTAGACCAGGAGGCTTCCCCTCCGGGCCCTCCGCCTCCTGTCACTGCAGGCTTGCCCAGACGCCTCTCCTGTCCCCTGAGGACATCCCTCCCTGCCCTGCAGCAGCCAGAGGCAGCCCCCACCCCCAGGGAGCACTGAAATCTTACCCTGCCAGGCCCAAGCCCAGATCAACTGCTGCAGAATCTCTGAGGGTAGGGCCAGACAGAGACTTTTAAGACTCTCCAGGGTGTTCTAACGTGTAACTAGAGTTTCCAAGCTCTGCTCCAACAAAGAGGAAGATCAGCAGGTGTAACAGAAAGCTGCTCAAAGCTGTTACCGTCAGAATCTGTTTCTGAGAGGTAATCAGGTTAAAAAAACAAACACTCTAGAGACAGTTACAGGACAAGGATAACTGCGCTGATGTTAGGAATCCTCAGGACTTGTCTATCTAACATCTCTGTCCTGGCCCTCCCATGGGGACACTGTGTCTCATCATCTTTGGGTCTCCATACTCCAAACCTGCTTCGAAAGACAGGTGGGCCTAGTTTCCAGGACACACCTACGTAACCCGGGGGCTCCTGACCCTTCCACACCTGCAGGGCACGGTGGGGCAGGAGGGCCTAGACAGGGCTGGCAGTGCTCTGCTGTCAGGGGCGACTCTGGGACCTGGGCTGTACCTTGCGCGTCCAGCCTCTTGTCGGCGTAGACCTTGTAGGTGAAGGCGTGCCGCAGGGCCAGAGCTGCGAAGAACATCTCCACGCAGATGATGAAGTCCTGGTAGCCAGCAGCCACGGTGCCCTCACCCACTGACACTCGGGCTGAGTGGATCTTGGGGATGGCCCCGCACTTCTCCAGGATGGCCAGGAGCATGCCTGGAAGGGAAGGTGTGTGTGTCTGGACCAGACTGGACGCCTTCCTGCCCCCCCCATCCTCCATGCAGCACCCCCAGACGCAATGCCAGGGCGGATGAAAGCAGGGTCCACCGCTGCTCCTGTAGGGCAGGGTTGACGACACAGAGCCAAGGCCACTTGGAAACCCCACACCCCCAGATCCTTTCCAGCCACCAACACCGAGACATCACTGATTACGTGGGGTCCCCTGCATCCTCCCATCCATGAAGCAGCCAAGCAGCCCCACTGAAGTTTTGTCCATGGTTCTTATCATGGCCCCCGAGGGCCCAGACTTCTGACTTAGTGGGTACCCAGTGGATGGAGGCCCCTGTGAGCTCCAGGCTGGTATCACCTGAGGACAGTTCCATGGACTGGGCCCCAGGGGCACTGGGGATGGCAAACAGGAGGAAGGGGACAAGGTTTAGGGGACAGAATGGCACAGGCCAGCCTCGCAGGGGCTGGGAGGAGGCTTACCTTGCCAGAATGAGAGGAAGATAACCGATTTGACCATGAAGAACTTGAGGACGGGGCTGTAGGGGCTGAGCAGCTCCCGTGTGGCGAAGTAGAAGAGGAAGAGGGCATAGAGGGCTAGGCTGACGGACACATTGTAGATGATGGTCACGTACAGGTAGCCGCTGGCGACACTGCAGGAATGGGGGAGCATTCTGACTTGAACAGACCCTTCCGAGAGACACGGAGTGCCCTCCTCATTTGTCCTGCCCCATGCCAATTCCTGTGGCTCTTGGCCATACTCCCCAAGCCACATGGTGATCAAAGTGGTCAGAACATGAAGGGTGCCAGGCCAGTGCCTCTGCCTCACTCCCAGGGGTCTAGGCCTGCAGCCCTGGCGCCCAAGCTCCTGGAGGAGGACTTGGGGGAGGAGGCCAGTATGCCTGGGTGGGGGCTCAGCCTGATGGTCAGATGACAGGTGTCAGAGTGACGAGCTCGGCTTTGCTCTTCTCACTTGAGCCGAGTCACATCCCACGGAGCCTGTTTGCGCACCTGCCCGCTGGGGCCGCGTGTGTGCCAAGGGCTTGCCAGCACACGCCAGGTGGCCCCTTTCCCTAGCCCCCAAAATGAGATGTGCAGAAGCTTACACAGGAGAGGCTTCCGGCCTCGCAGGGCTCTAACCCTCTTGCTCCCTGTGGGGAACGGTCACTGTTCCCGCTGGCCACCCCCAGGGCCCCATTCTGCAGCCTGTACATGAAGGTGACGCCTGAGAGGATGCTGAGGGCCGAGTGCCACTGCCAGGCACGGGCCGCGAAGCTCAGGGCTGCAGGGAGGCACGCGGAAGGCTCGGCCTCCCCGGGGGGGATCCTGAGTGCATATGTGGGCCAGTCTGCGGGCACCTCCTTCCCTGCCTCTGGGCAGGGACATCCACCCTCACACTCCCCTGCGGGGATCCGCTGCTTACTCAAAGTCACCGTCCCGGTACTTGCCAAAGGCCTGCAGGATCACGGTGCTGACAGCCATGAGCGGCTTCACCACGCAGAACTGCAGGGTGGCCTGTGGGGGGAGAAGGCCGAGTCAGGATGAGGACAGAAACCATGTAACAAGCACCTGCTCTGGCCAGGTAGACCTACACTGGATACCAGGGGGTGGCGGGAGGCTCAGTGTCCTCCCCCAAGGGGACCACCGTCTGGAGAAAAAGGCAGAACAAGTGAGATGATGATAGTGCGACTCTGCTCTGTGAGAAGACAGGAATGTGAGGAAGGAAGGACAATGGATGGAAGAATGGAGGAGCAGGAGATGCCCCTGGAGAAGGGGCCAGCAGGAACGTGACAGAGAGACAAGGAGACAAGCAGAGTGGGCAGCTCATTCCAAGGCCCAGAGGCAGAGAGTAGACAAGGGCAAGGGTTCATGCCAGCGATGGGCAGCAGCGGTGAGGTGGCCAGGGCAGGTGAAGTAGGGTGGGGTGGAGGTAGGGGAGGGAAACCAGGGCCCTGCTTAAGGGACTGGCCACCCAGGGAGCAGGGCCGGCTGAGGGCTTCCTCTTGTCCTCCTTGCCCATGCCCCGTGCTCTGTGCCTGGGTCCAGGGTTTATCTCGAGCTGGGGTCCCACTGGGGATGGAGATGACTTACAGGAGCACAAACAGGAAGCAGCCCAAAGCAAAGGTCTACAGTTTTGACATCTGAGTTTGAATTATGGCCTCGCCAGCTACCAGCTACAGAAGCTCGAGTGAGTGGCCACTTAGCCTCTGGTAGGTGGACGTAACCGCCCCCTCATCACAGGGTCACTGTGTGTGGACTGAGGAACAAGAAGGCACATGCCGTAGAGGTCGGCCACCCTGTGCACTCAAAGGCCTCGGCCAGCCTGCTCGGCCACTGAAAGGGTTCCTGACCCAGGCTTTCACACCTTCCTACCGCGGCCCCAGTACACGGAGGGGTACCGGTGGTGCCCATAACATCACTAGAATAACCTTTCTCTTGAAATCAGTACATGTAAGCAACAAGGCCCTTCGGCAGAGCTGGGAGCTGCTCAAGAGGCTCGGCTAGCAAGGCTCCAAATAGGCAAGGACCCTGGAGCAGAGAAGGCAGCCTGCCGAACCCCAAGTTCTAGGAGCTGGAACAAGGTTTCCAGCCCTGGAGGTCTGAGCTGTGGGGCTCCCACCAGGAGAGACGTGTGACGGGGGCTGGAGGTATGATATTGCTGTCAGCACACCCCACACACTTCCCTGGCCCCATTGCCCCAACACAAGGAGGGACCAGCAGCTTCTGATGATAAGGGAAGAGCAGCCCTTTGCGCCGAAGGTGTAAGTGTTAAGAGCCTTGCCATAGGCTGGTACCACCCCGGGTCAGCTCAGCTGGTGTGACAACAGCCCTGTGACGTGAGTCTGTCATCACCCTGTTATAGGCGAGGGAACTGAGGCATAGAAAAGCTGAAGTGACAGAGTGACAACTGCAGGAGGTCTGCGCTCCTGGGACAAAGCTGCTGGTTCTCTCCAGCACGGAAAAGGTGTGCAGAGGCTTATTTTGTTCTCGCTCCTTTTCCTACCTCTCCCTGCCACCTGCAGGAACAACAGTGGATGGTGGAATAGGTGGAATAGCCGGAAAAGCTGAGGCCACAGGGCTGGGGATAATTTATGACAAGGGACTGGAGCTAGTGATCTGGGATCAAAACTTTGTACACAATATAATCATCAAAGCAGCAGTGAGTCACGGGCCCTGGGGGCCAAACCCACTGGTAAACAATGGCTCTGAAAGGCCCCACCCTGGATCCAGGACAGTTTAACTCTTTCCTGGCAGGTCCGGTGGGGAGATTTTGAATTTAGAAACACCTCAAGGAAGGAAGACAGAGAAGCAGACCTGGAGAGCTGGGAAGCCCAGGAGACCTGGGTGTGCCTGCGCCAGGGCAGCGGCCCCACACAGAGGGAGTAGAAACGCCAGCCTCCAGAGGGCCACAACGACTGGCTGTGCGTTTCATTTCCCCTCAGGATCACTCTTGGAGATGCTAGAGGGACTGAAAGGCCCTGTGGAGCCCCAGAGGAGACTAAGTCAAGGTCATGCCAGCTGGGCACGACACCTGACTCTCCCTCCCTGAACAAGAGACGGTGGGCTCTGTGCCAGTACAGTGTTCATGTGCTGCACCCACTACCTCACTGTTCTTTACACCATCCCCTCAGATAAGTAGCATTACACCCATTTTATAGAAGGAACTAAGGCTCAGAGAGGTTAAGTAACTTACGCAAGGTCACAGTCAGAGGAGAAGCTGGAAATCAAACCCAGATGGCCAGACACCCAGGCCCATGCACTTAACCACAACCCCACACTGCCTCCACCCAGGCTATTCTAGACCACAGGGAGGGCAGCTGAGAAAACCGAAAGCTGCGCACGGCCAGCTGGGGAAGGAACTGAAGACTGCACAGGCCCGTCTGGTCACACATCTTCCAGGCAGCAGTCCTCCTTCTCCAGCCCCAGCCGATGAGGAGTTTGCAAACTGAGATTCTAGAGTCCCCATGCATTCCCTCGGATTCTTACACACACTGAGACTTGATCAAAAGCAGCAAGGGCCCGGCCAGTGTGGCTCAGTGGTTGAGCGTTGACCCACGCACCAAGAGGTCACCGGTTCAATTCCCAGTCAGGACACATGCCCAGATTGTGGGCTAAATCCCCAGTGGGGGTCATGCAGGAGGCGGCCAATCAGTGTTCTCTCTCATCAATGTTTCTGTCTCTCCCTCTCCCTTCCTCTCTCTCCAGAATCAATAAAGAAAAAAAAAAAAAGGAGCAAGAGTCTGAGAACACTTCTTGCCCAAGACGCCTGTCACTGCCCCTCTGAGCAAACCCTATGAATGCAAGGGCCTCCCGATCTGCTTAAAGAGTGGGTGCTGGGGTTTGAGGGGCCTCACAGAAAATGCGAACTGCAGAGGTGGGCCTAGGGCAGCCTGCAGCGGGGTCCTCCTGGCCCTATGCCGGCTTCCGCCACTCTGTCAAGTCGGGGCAGCACAGCCCCACAGCTGCTGCTCCTGGGCACAGACCCAGGCTCCAGGTCCCTGGCTCATAACTCTTGACCCAGGCAGTTGCTGGGGTCACACACCTGCTTGCAGAACCGCAAGAATCCAATGGAGTAAGTCTTTCCCCAGAGGCAGCATGTGCCATACATACAGCTGGACCTGGAAGAGACAAGCGGAGAGGGGATGGTGAGCAGAGAACCAGGACTCGGGAAGGTGGGGCTGGAGGACACCCTGCCTCACATCTGGACAAGCCAGGACAGAGCAGGGTGGGTAGGGATGGCACAGAGAGCCCAGGCAGCCTTTGAGCCCAAGGCCAAGTAAAGGGAGACACCAGAGAGCGTTTGCAACCACAGTAAAGCATTAAGGAGCAGAGCTGCAAGGACTTGGGGTTACAAACCAACTTGAGAAGCACTGAATGTAAATAGTGCAAGAGGGGGAAAGAAACAGGAAAAGATGGAGAGAGAGAGGAGAAAGAGCCAGGGAGGCCTTCCCAAGAGTCCCAACAAACGCCCTTGCTCAGGAAGCTTAAGAGAGGCACAGCAGGTCAAGGTCACAGGCAGAGAGGGCCTGTGTGTCCAGCTGCCGCCAGGACAGCTTGAGGAATGGCAGGCCCAGGAAACAGGGTGGTGCAGGAGGCTCCAGGGGCTTTGCACTCACTCGATGGGCTTCCCTCTGATCTCTGACATGATGGAACTTTCTCCCCCGAGGTATTCATAACACAGGCTCAGGAAATTGTAGATGACCAAGGCTGTAAAAAGAGTGTCCACAGTAAACAGGATGGGTAAACAGATGGCAGAATTCTAAACAGCAACAGAAGTGAAAGAACCAGTCACAGGAGCCACAGAGAGCCCTCGGGGACGTGAGAACCCACACAGTGAGTATTCCAGTTATAATCAAAACCAGGCAAAGACAAATCATGTTGTTTAGGGATGTGTACACACATTGCTCGTCATCTGTCAAGTAAAGCAAGGAAGTGATTATACCACAAAATTCAGGATTCTGTGGGGAGGCATGAGGGGATGTCAGGACAGGCATGGTGGGGACTTAGGGGAGCTGGCAGTGTGCCTGCTCTGGGGTCAGCGGAGTAATGGCTTTATAATTTATTCATCCTCTGCACTTTTCTGTTTGTGTTATGGATCTCGATTTTATAATAAAACAACAATAGAACATTCTCCAGAGGGATCTCAGGAGACATTCTAAGCAAGAATGAGACAGCAGCACCTCGATCCACTCAGCAGCCTGCAGTGCACCTTGGTCTGCACAAAATGCAGGCAGTGCACGGGAAATGGCACACGCCTTGAGAAGCTGGGTCAGCTCATTCTGAATCAGGACGTGGCTGGACACTTCCACATAGACACAAAATTTGCAACAGCGACCACCGGTAGAGAAGTATGTTGTAAATGCTTTGCTGTAAATACAGCAATTTGCTGTAATGTCTCCTGGTCAGAGGATTTCTGCTGGGTCAGCAAAATGAAGGCTACTGCCTGCAGTGTGCTAGAAGGGACATGCCAGGAGCGAGGAAGGAGAGTGAATGTGGAGAGAGAGTAAGAAGTGTGGCAGAGGACACCACAAAGGAAGGGTGCAGGAGGGCCAGAGGCTAAGAGCAGGGAGTGAGGTGTCCAGTAAAGGAATAAGGCCAAGGCAAGGGTCAAAATGGGGTCAGGGAGGGCACCTTTTCATCTGATCCTACCATCCCCTGCAGCACAAAGGCCTTCCAGGCTCCCTGGTGCAGCCCCTTAGCTTGGCACTTAAGGTCTTTCAAGGGGTGACTCGATCCCTGCCCACCCCTTACACTTCCTTCCCAGCAACACTAGATGACCCTTTCCCTCAGCAGGTTAGTGCACCCTCCATGCTGCTGCACTGGCTGCTCCCACTGCCTGGGGCGCCCTTCCCTCTGCGCTCCCATCAGACCCCACCCTGAGACATCTCAGGCCCCAGCTCAGGCCGGGGCTCTCCCGCAGGCCCTGGTGGTGTGCAGACCACACAGCACTTCGGCGGGAGCACATAAAATCCTGGCAATGCAGTCTGAGGCAAACGCTGTCCTTCAGCAATTTGGAAAGGAACACACTTGGGGTGCTTTATGCCACTCACAGCTGCTCTAACCTATTAGGGCTCATGTCTCCAGCTGGGGTGGAGGGCCCCAGGTAGCACCCTCTATAAACATGACCTATGTGCTGTGACAGTCCCTCAGCTGACATATAACAGAGGGTTTGCCAAGTGGGTCTGACACTGGTTAGCTGTGAGCCTCTCTGCACCTCAGTTTCCTCATCTGTTAAATGGGGATAAGAGTCCCTAACTAAACAGGTGGCTGTGAGTATGCAAAGTGCTCAGAAGAGTCAGCACTCAGCAGTGCTCTCTGAATGTGGGTTGTCACAGCCATTACTCCTCCCTCAGGAGCCAGCACTCCTTGATGGGCCTGAGACCCTGTCTCTGCCTGCCTGGCACAGAAGCTGCTCAGGATGTTTGGTGATTGCAGGCATCCCCACTGAGCTCCAGATCACTCATCAATGACAAGAACTACTCTGGCCAAATCTGATGTCAGCCTGCTAAGAACCTTTGTCCAAAACCACATAAGGCCAAGTAGAAATGATGTGTCCATCCCAGGCTGGGTCCAGCCACATTGCAGTCAATGGTATTTTCCAAAGACAGCCACACCCTCTGACACTGACACTCCCGCTGAGAGGTGGGGTCTCATGACTGCTGACGCTGGGGTAAGAAAAAGTCTCTTTCCTGTTTCTGGAGATGTCTGCCCTTGGACCCAGTCACCACACGAGGAAGCCCAAGCAAGCCCTCGTACAGAGCCCACAGGAGGCTCGTGGGGGGTCTGAGGCACCCAGCAGGCACCAGCACCCACTGCCATGAATAAATCTGACTCTAGGTGATTCCTCTCCAGCCGAGACCCAGACACCACAGGGCAGGGACAAACTATGCCCACCATGCCCTGTCCAAATTCCTGGCCTGCATGATCCGTGAACAAATAAATGGTTGTTTTACACTAGTCTACATTGGGGTATGTATTTACACAGCCATAGTAAGTAGAATATACATAAAACCACTTCTAGCCCTGGCTGGTTGCTCAGTGGTTAGAGCATCAGCCCACAGACCAGAGTCCCGGGTTCGGTTTCTGCTAAGGGCACGTACCTCAGTTACAGTTTGTCCCCGGCTCTGGTTGGGATTGTATGGGTAGCAACTGGTAGATGTGTCTCTCTCACATCGATGTTTCTCTCTCTCTTCCTCCCTCTGTCCCTCCTGTTCTATCTGAAGATAAGTGCAAAAATGTCCTCGGGAGAGGATGAAAAAAAAACAAAACTCACTTCTGGAGTTCCCAGGACATGCCATGCATGATCTCTCCTGCCTCCCTGCGGTCACACCTTCGGGTCCCTCTGCTAACTCCCAGAGGGAGACCCAGCTGAGATGCCACCTACTCCTTGGTGGCCTCCTCTGCCCTGTTGCCATGCTCACTTCACACATGGTGATCTCTCTGCGCATCCATCTGACCCTTCAAGTACAAAAAGCAGCATAAAGTAGCAGGAAAGCCATGAATCCCGAAGCCAGTCTGCCGGGGTGTGGATGGTGGTTCTACCACTTAGGAGCTGTGTGGCCTCAGGCAAGTTTCTTCAGCACTTGGAGTCTGGTTTCCTCATCTACAAGCTGCGGATCCTCATGGGGCTGCTGGGAGGACAGGCTGCGGGGTGAGTGTGTCACTGAGATGAGCCTGCGCTCACACTAAGCAATCCGCAGTGTCACCTACTGTTTTGTCAGACTTTTGTCACCTACTGTTTTGTAAACTTCTTGTAGGTGGAAACTGAGGCCTACTCCCAACAAATGCCAGAGGCCCCGGCGTTTTACACACAATACACATGGAAGAAAGGAATGGGTGGACATGGGCTGTAGCTCCCGTGAGGCTCAGAGAGGCCGAGCAGCAGCTATGCCTATGCTCAGCTCTGTGCTCAAGTTCACCCTCTCACAGGACGGTGATCAGACTTCCCCAAGGTGATCAGGCTTCCAGTCCCCAAAGACAAAACCCTCCAGAGAATCCACAGGGGCCGAAGTTCATCAGCCCCTCCATGCGGAACCACCCAAGCTAGGTAGTCCTGCGATCCACTCAGAAGACCCAGTTCCTGAGCTCACGTCCTTTGCTGTGTCACACAGATATCAGCACTGTGGTCAAGCTCTGTGTTCAACTGGTCAGAGATGACCAATTTCATCCGTCTCTCAGCTCAAGATTCTTGACCTTTTAACAGTGCTCTGGGGTCAGCCAGTCTGTATAATACCAATTTGATGACAATTTTCTTTAAAGACTCATTAGTGAGTCAATAATGCATTCTCAGAGGAGAGAGACAAGACAGAATCTCTTCAAGATGACTCAACCAACCCACACAAGGACCCATCTGGATACATCAGTCCCTTACCAGAAAGTTACAGAGCTACCCCCAGCACCCTGGCAAGGGTGTTTAAAATGGACAACACAACCCTGGCCAGTTTAGCTCAGCAATTAGTGTCGGACTGAGGACCAAAGAGTCCTGGGTTCGATTCCAGTAAAGGGCATGACCTTGGTTGTGGTTCATCCCCCGGCCCTGATTAGGGTCATGCAGGAGGCAACCAACTGACATGTTTCTCTCATATCAATGTTTCTCTCTCTCTCTCCTTCCCACCCTTCTCTATCTGAAAATAAATGGAAAAATATCCTTGGGTGAGGATTTAAAAAAAAAAAGTACAACACAAAGATACACTGGCTCTGGACATAAGGAAAGCAAAGAGAGATTAGGAGAAGGGTTCTCAGCCAGCAGCCTTATTGCCTGACTACACGTCTGACCATGGTTTCAGCTCATGTTCCCTGGAGGCCCCAGAGAAACAAAATAACTCTATGTCTCCCTAAATATTCACTACACCTCTGTGCTCAGCTCTGTGCTAGGCCCTGGGGACACATAAATGACCAAGGGACCCACAGACAAGGGCCTTCAGTCTGAAGGAGAGCATCCAGAATGAGGTAAGGGAAGGGCTCTCTCCTGCTGAGAGTCAGGTACCTGAAGCTGTTGGCTCCACCTGGAACCCTAGAGACAAATGCGCACAATCAAGAGAGAAGGGCCCAGGTGGAGATGCAATGAGGCCTGTACTAGATCCCTCAGGCCTGGAGGGAAGACATTAGGAATCACTCTCTTCATATAAGTGCCGGTGACCTTGTCTAGAAGGTCAGACAGAACCATCAGTCTCGGGGATGGATCCTAGGATTTCTGCTTAGTGTAAGCAGTAATTTCTAATAGGCAGTCTTCAGAGATGGAAGACAGTGAGCTCTCTGCTGTGGAAGATGCAACCAGAGGCTAGGCAGCCTCTGTTTTTTCCTATGAGGAAGGGAAATATCAATGCGAGAGAGACACATCGACTGGTTGCGTCCCGCACGACCCCAACAGGGGCAGGGGACGAACCGCAACCAAGGTACATGCCCTTGGCTGGAATTGAACCCGGGACTCCCTGGTCCGCGGGCTGATGCTCTAACCACTGAGCAAACTGGCCAGAGCATGGGAAGCCTCTTTTTTTTCATTTTCTTTTCATCCTCACCCAAGAATATGTTTTACTGATTTTAGAGAGAAAAACATTGATCATTTGTCTTCTGTATGCCCCCACCATCAGAAGATCAAACCCACATCCTAGGTATATGCCCTGACCAAGAATCAAACCAGCAACCTTTTGGTGTGCAGAACAATGCTCCAACGGAGCCACACCTGCCAGGGCAGGAGCCTCTTTATA